TAAGCCTGCGCCAGTTTCCAGGAATACTGGGAGTAATATGTGATATAACAGTCCAGGACTATAACCATAGGTCTGGGCTAAGCAAACTGCTTTCTGTAGCTCTTTTCTGCCTCTGTTTTCCCACCTGTGAAGTTGGATAATAGTAATTTCCTCTCAGAAGAGCTGCAAACACTAGCTAGAAGTTGCACGTGTTATGGCATCAAGGAAACAGTGGCTATTATTAATCACTCCTTATATTTTTTCAACATGCTGCATAAATAATATTTGTTTGTTTTGGTTTTTAAAACCTGGAATCGATGCCTGGACCAAATTAGAGTTGGAAGCTGAGAGGTACGAGGAAAGACATCCAAAATGCTCAGCTTGCTCTGTATGGGACAGAACTGCTGAGGCTGCATCACTTGCAGCTCTCGAGCTTGGTGCCAGCATACAGAATTCCCTCCTTACAGCTTTTCCATGTTGTGTGCCAAGTATCCTGCTCTTCAGTCTGTTATAAATCTTCCCTAATTCTGTAATTGCTTTGGTAGCGATTATAGGCAGGCTCTTGTTGATCCTTCTGTGGTTTTCCTTTATCCACATTTTCTGTGGGCTTTTATTGTTGTTGATTCTCTTTTCTAGTTCCTTTTCTCCCTTTTTCCAGTTCTAGCAGGCCCCACGGCTCTGGTTAAGTGCTTCCCTCCAAGAGACAAGCAGGGTCCATCTGCCTCTTCAAAGCAGGGGAAGGGACACCTTGTGCCTTTGCAAATATGGAAAACAAATGTGTAAGTTCATGCGTTGAAGAGTATGCTGTGAATCATACTGGGGGCTGCATCTGGGGATGGATTCATAAATGACAGCAAGCAGACAATTAAGCACAGCTTTAAGCATGATTGTACTGTTCTCTAAATACCTATGGGTGTCTCCAAGCAAAAGCAGTTACGATAACAGCAAAATGATCCTGTTTGCTTAGCACATGCTCAGGTTGGTTACTGCTCTGAGGGCAGGTTGGCAGTAGGTGCTGTGTGGTCCCCATTCCCTGCAGCAGATTTGCTCCATGCTTTGTGCCTCCCTGCAGCACAGCAGGAACAGTCAGCCAAACTGTTCAGAGCTCAGCACTCCACTTCTTCTCCCTCCCCAAGGACACAGGCTCACTTCTGTAAAGTGCACTTGTGCAAACAGAGCTGATAACCCAGCCTGACCTGGTGCAGGCACTGGGCTGAGCCCCTGCCCTTGGGCAATGCCCATGCTTTGACAAAAACCAGTGGTGTTCTCACTTGGTGACAGGTGAGATCCAAATCTCCTGTGGGCACAGCTGATACAAAGCTTAGTTCCTGCTTCATTCCTGTAGTTTCACTAGAACACAGACCATAAAAGCCATAAAACTGGCTTGTACGTTGGTGACAAATGGATTAAGCTTTGAGGGGTTTGAGAGTTTGACTTTGACCTGGTTTTGTTTTTCAGACTTCCAGCTTGTTCCAGAAGTGCTCAGTTGGCATTTCTGAAAGCAGCCGAGGGATTTCAAAGATTCTTAGGAGGGATATTCCTGTAGGTCAGCTTGTGAAGCACTTCTCAGGAGCTTTATTTTCAGAGGTGGCTGCTATTCAGAATGCAAAATTCTTATGACCTCTCACTCAGACTACCAGAAGCTTTTCTTCTACTGTATGAGTGCTGACTTCTGCCCCTTTTTGTCTGTTAAAAGGCCCTTCAGCTTTAATGTGAGCCTGGAGTGTTCCCTTCCCTACCCATGGGAGGGGCTGTTCTATGAAATAACCATCTGATGTAGCTTGTGGTTGAGCAGATGTTATCTTAGTCAAGGCAGAATTTCATTACTAAGTAATTGGATGTTCTTCCTGGTTCCTCATAATTAAGGCAGGAGAAAAGAACAAAACCTGCTGATTTGATATGAGTAATTGCTTCATTAAGTTATTTGCTTCCTCACCATAACCATCAGCCCAAAGAAGAGAACAGCATGCCCACCGGACTGTATATGACTGTACTGTGACACTGGGGCTTTGTGCTGTGCTGTCAGATGGAATCACAGGCAAAAGAGTTGGGAAACACCTTGCTAAGTTATTTACCTCTCAGCCCTGTGCATTTAAGACTGCAGAGAGAGTCTGGATGTGTCCTAACGGAGTGAATCAGTCCCTAGGAACAGCAGAGAGCTAATGCACGAGGCTTTAGATAGCACACTTGCCTTGCTTCCTTTGTCTGAGCACTGTGAATTGATGTTTGGGAGCTGAGCAGCTGTGTCCTCTTACTGAGGAGCAGGCAGAAAGGAGGCTGCATTAAATCCAGGTCAAAGTGGCTCAGAACTGGAATATGGCAATATCTGAGCTGTGCTCCCTGGCAAGGGCTCGTGTCCCTCCTGTTCTTTGCATTTGTCCTCCTTGGGCTGCATTTGCACGCATGTTTGTACACATGTGGACCAAATGGTGAACACTACCTTGTACCACGGGACAGGTAGATGGGCTTTGTTTGCTTCTTCAGTGACATGGATTCAGCCAAAACGTCAGACATAATTTTAAGTAAGAGATTCTCCATCTGTGTGGACCTGAGCTCCTCTCAGACAAATCTTGCTGCCCTGTCCCCATCATTCATCACCCCAAATGTACTTTATAACTCTTTTCCTTAATTTCCTCCTTGCAAGCCTGAGAACCAGGCTTCTGAATGGAGCAGACGCAGGATTTGTGTGTGCCTGTGCTCAAAGTCAGGGCTCAGAGGCTCTGTGGATGTGACCTGTGCTGGATTACCCCCAGGTGTGGGAGAAGCGGGCAAGGCAGTTCCAGGTCATTGCCCATCACTGTGTGAGGCGTTCCAAGTGCTGTGCTCTGCAAAGCCCATGTTTTCCAGGAACGCCATCAGAAACTTTGCTTATGGAGCTGATTTCTATCACCCCCTCAAAGATCAGGGGAGGTGTGCCGTTGAAAGAGACCAACGCAAAGTTTGGAGCTGACAGGCCTCACGTTCCTCCAGCTGCAATGCTAAATAGTAACAAGTCAGCCCTGAGCTGTAACTTCTGCTTAGATAACCTGGATGCTGTGCTGCTGCCTCCCTGTGCTGGGGAGGATGGGATGCTGGCAGAGAGCAGGGTGGAAAACTTTGCATTCTCTCTCCTAGTCATGCAGCCAGAAAAGAGCAATTGGGCAGGAGAACGTTGCTGGGAGGATCATATATAAAACAAACAGAGCTGGAGGAGATGTGGGTGGTTTATAGCCCCAGCACCTGAGTTTCCACCTCTAAATCACTCAGATACTGTTCCCCAAAGAGAGGCCTCAGCCCTGCTCTGTGCTGACCGCGGGTCTCTGCAGCATAAATTCTGCCTTCTCATTGCTGATCACCTGGGGAGCTCTGCTCTGCTATAGCAGTGCCTTTTGCCTACCAGCAATGCCTGGGAGCCCCAGGGCAGCACTGAGCAACACTCAGCATCCCTGCACCCTGAGAAAACTCAGCTTTCCTCCCCTTTTGCAAGATGGGAAGCTCAATTGAATGAATCAATAGAAGAGGCATTGCACAGCTCAGCATACCCTTATGTCCAATTTCATTCTAGTCCACAGGATTCTATTTTATTTTTTCCCCAGGTGCCCACTCTCTCCTTCTTTCTGTGCTCCTGGTTGCATTATGCATTGCTTGTTGCTGCTATCTCCCTGGTCTCTCCCTCTCTCTGACCCTTTGAGTTCCTGGCTCGCTGCCCCAGCCCCACCAGCCGGAGCTGGCGGTGCTCAGCTCCCCCTCCTCTGCTCACTGCATGATGTTTAGCTTGGGAGATTGCATATCTCAGTGCAGGACCCCCACATGCTGGGGAACGTGCTTGCCTGGAGGATGCTACTGGGGGAGAGAGAGCACGTTCTGCTTGCAGAAAATGCTTTTTGTGCCTGCTGTGAAGCTACAGCATGTATGCTGCAGGCAAAGCCATGAGATGTATCAGCTGGGAAGGGCATCACAGCTGGGGTAGGCTCAGCAGATGCAGCTTTAGTGTGTGTGGGTAGAGCATGTGCACAGAGCAGGGCATTGCCAGACAGAAATGAATGAGGTTGGTGCAGCCTCTGACAACAAGCACTGGCGCTTATGCCACAGTGGGATGTGTGATTAGAGGGGATTCCCACAGGGGCTGGGGCAGGACGGAGGGAGAGTTGGCATGTACACCAGCTGAGAGTGGGGTTGTCCTGCAGGGCTGGTGCAGGAGGCTCAGTGGTGCCTGCCTGTGCTGTGGCTGGGCTGAGCCAGGAGCCTGAATCCTTTGCTTTCAGGAACAATAAATTCCCTCACTAATCTTAGGAAACAGAAGAAAAGCTACAAATGCCTTACCTATTTGAGGCCTGTGGGCTCTGCATTGTATTAAACATTAACCTGCCTTTCTGAGCTGAAGTACTGACTCTCTCGGTAATTCTGAGGCCCAGGCAGCCAAAGAAAAGGATCCTTTGTTGGGTGATATTTCAGGAAAAATCCTTTCAGCCATTTTCTGTCTCATCGTGTTTGTTTGGCCCCGCAGCAGAAGGGCTGGCTGCACAATTTGTGGTTTGTGTTTGTGCAGCCGGGCTGATCAGAAGGCTGTGCCCGCATTGCAGCTCTGATAGTGCTGTCAGCAGTAGGCACACGTGTGTGACCATGCACTGCGTTGCACGCTTAATCAGACACACATGCACATACACCCGTATGAGAGAGGAGCAGAAACGCTGTCTTCTGACATCTTACAAAAATATATCCCCATGAGCACTGAGTGTTAAAACTAACTGTGGTCATCAGAGAGGCGTGGGCAAGAACAGAGCAACAGGATGAGTGCTGGGAGTGGGTTTTGCTCCTGGCTCTGCCCTTGCTTGGTGTGTGAGGCAGGGCAAGCCATTGTGCATTGTTTCTCCTCCATGGATTGTGACTAACAATTTCAAAAGAACTTGTGAAAAGAATCAAATATTGTTACCATGGGCTTGGATATGTATTTAAGCCTCACAGTCCTGCTCACCTGCTCTGTTCCTGTGGGATGCCAACATTAGGGCTTGGGGCATTAAGTGTTTTTTTTCCTACTGCAGAGAAGTCCAAAATGCCAAAAGCAAGCAGAAATCCCTTTGTATTGAAGTCCTGCCTGAGTCTGGTGAAGTTTCTCATGTGGATGGGACCCGTGCTCTGTCCCTTAGTGTGGGTGAGTCATCCAGCAGGCGGTGGAAATCTCGGTAGCAATTGCTCAGCCCTTCCTTCAGCACTTCAGTCTGCCTTTAGTTGCAGCAAGTCTTGTTTTCTCTTGCTGTCTGTGTTCATAGTGCCCCCAGCTTTATTGCATTTACATAACTAATTGTCTGAGGGGCATTTCACAAGGGGGTGACCTGGCACATTCCTGCTCTGCTGACAGAGCTGCATGCTGAGTCCCCTCCCCAGTAACAGCCAGGTGACAGGGTTATGCCAGATCCCTTGGGAACTGCTCATTCCATATGGGGCTCCCCTATATTTCTCCTCAAGGCATGAGCTTGCACGAGAGTTTCACTAGGCTTGCAGCCTTGCACGGGCCCTTTATGACTGGACAGAAAGAGGAAAGAGATGTTTACACTGCCGGGTGCTGCCGGGCCAATAATGCACTTTGAACTAGAATCAGCCGGGCTGCAGAGCAGCACTGATCAGAGCTGTTTTGGCAGCAAAGGGCCGAGTCAAAGCCGTGGGGTGTGCTGGGCTGGAGGCATGAAATTTGCTTTCCATCCATTGCCACGCTGACTGACAGCAGCAGTTTTCCCAAGGCTGGAGGTTGGCAGCAATAACTCACAGCTCCTGTTTGTTTTCCGAGGTGACAACGTGCGACCACCAGGAAGGCTGCGTCCTGCTCTACCCCTGTCCGTGCCAGGAGAGTTGGAACAGCCCAGAACTGTGTGCGAGATTAGGAAAGGTGTGCGCTAATTAATGGGAGTGCTGCGCTGCCCCTCGGCTGCACCCGCACATGTGGATGTGGCACTTGGTGTGTCCCCTCCCTGTCTGTGCCCACACTGACAAAAGGACTGAGCTGTGACCACGCTACGTTCCTATGAGCAGCCCGAAGGGACAGCATGAGGAAATCGACGTACTCAGGTGAGCTGTGGTTCTCTCCTCTCTCGGCTCTCTCCTTTTGTGTCTGGACTGGGAAAAGAAAAAGGTTTCAAAACAGAAGTACAACTTGAATCAGCCCCTCTCCCTCCGACTGGTTCTGTGGTGGAGAATGGAATGAGTTTGCTGTGTATAAACAGAACCTGCTGACTGATGGAAAAGGTTTAAAGAGTAGAACAAATCCAGGGTGGCAGCTTGTGCCAGCCTTGGTGGCATGCAGCTTGTTTGGAGGACACCTTTCCCAGCACAGGACAGACTCGGTGCTGAGCTGCAGTTTGGAATTAAAACAGAATGGTGGCACTGCTTGTGACACCTTCAGGGCAAACCCCCATGTAGGAGAGCTGGGGCCCAAACGCTGTGCAGTTCTCTCCCTGCTCCCTGTTCCAGCTTTGCAGCCTTGTCCTGCAGGGTGAGGGCTCTGTGCCTTTGGCTTCTGCAGGCTCAGTCAGGTTCCTTCCTCCCTGGCTGCTTGGGAGCAGGTAACCACAGCTGACAGCTTTTCTCTAAGCTTCTTCTGAAACTTTGCTGGCAGACTGAGAGATGGCTGCTGCATGATGGTGTGAATCCATGCCCACCAGTGGCTCCTCCAGGTGCAGGATATGGCTGTGCTCTTCAGCTCCAGCTTCCTGCCCGTGGCTGCTCTGTAGGTCTGCTTCTGTCCTGGCTTCATCTAGGTGACTTTGGGGACACAGTCCATGCTGGCCTCTGTCCTGAGTCATGTGTCTGGGCAGCCTCTGTGCTGAGAGCCCCTCCAGCCATGCAGCAGCTGGGAGGGCTCAATGGGACCTGGTGGTTTTCTGTGCTCAGAGCATCCCCCCCGTGATGCAGCCTGGTTGCTGCTAAATGGATCAGGGACATCTCCCTTGTGTATATTTCTCTTATTAGAATCACTGAATGGACTGTCAGGGAGGTTTTGTTAGGGAGTGTATGCCAAGAACAACAGAAGACTTTACAACACGTTAACAACAGTGTTCATTGATTACAGTTGGTATTAATGGAATTGCATGTAGGGAAGCCTGTTGCTGGCACTTACATCCTAAAGTGCATGTAGTGGCTAAGAGGCCCTGGAGGGGGGTAACTGTGGGCTCTAAGGACCTGAAATTAAGGCTCCCTGCAGAAGGGGCTGCATGATCCTGAAGCATTCTGTTTGCTTTGGGCTGACTGTTGGGGTGAAGCAGTGGCCCTGCAAAGCTCCTGATGTGAGTGATGCATCTCTGATCAACGTTTGCCTCCATGTCAGTACAGTGTTGTAAAATTAAGATCAATCAACACCTGATCAATACCTTTTAATTCAAAAGGGACTACTGCAGTTATATTTTGGAAAAACTGTTTGTGTGGGGTTTTGACTGGTATGTAGCAGCCACTTATGGAAAAAAGAAGGGAAGAATTGCATCATTGCACTGTGGCCACCACTAATCTCTGGAAAAAGCACACGCAGCCCTTGTGAGTGCTATGAAGGCTCTGCCTTCAGTAGTGGTGAACTGGGCTCTCACCTCTCCTGACTCATAGGGAAGGAAGGTCCTGGGTGAGTCATTTACCATGCTGGGAAGGCCTTGGAGTGCAGCCAGCAGCGAGCTGGGCAGAGGCAGTCCTGATTGTCCTGTACATCTGATGGGTTCGTACATGGGGGATCAGCAGTGGGTGACTTCCTTCAGGAAATTCTGTTGGAATCCAAACTACTTCTCTAAGAGATGAGCGTAAAGTGCTGCTGAACCTCTAGGCATCCTACTGATAGAGAGATCCTGGAGATGAAGACAAGTAACTAATCAGTTAAAGGCTGCACTGCTGACAGCCCTTGACAGGCTGGAAATAGTGTTTTGCTTTTTGCCAAAGCTGGGATAATTAGCTGCTTCTGAACCCTTTTTGAGGTTAGGGAGCACTTCTTTCACATCTTCCATATCTTCCGATTTAATACAGAACCATAGAATGGTTTGAAATGGAAGAGCCCCTTAAAGGCCATGTGGTCCAACCTCCCTGCAATGAGCAGGGACACCCACAGTTTGAGCAGGAGCTCTGAGCCCCATTCAGCCTGACCTTGGGTGTCTGCAGGGATGGAGCACCACCACCTCTCTGTGCAAAGTATGGTGGACCAGGTGCCACTGAGCCCAACTGGAAGGCTTCACTTCTCAGGGCTGAAGCTCCAGCTCTGCCCTCTGTTAGCACATCATCATTCTGTTACCAGGTTGTTCCTCACTCCACGCAAGTTTTCTGAAGACCTTCAGAGGAAATGATTACCCATCTGCTACAACTTTTCAGCACATGTCACATAGGTGTGGTTGGGCTGCAGCTTGCCTGCAGATGCTTTACCTCTTACTGGTAAAGGGAGGTTCAGACCTTTGTGCCATAGCTGCAGGCATTGCAGCTCAGCCCAGCAGTGCTGTTTTCCTGGAAATTCCTGGAAGGAGGAGGGCAAAAAGGAGGTTTTACACAGCAAGTTAAAACTGAGAAATAACCACCGTTGAATGAACTCCTAAATGCTTTCTTCTGCAATGTCTATTGTTTCAGATCCTTCTCCAGAGGAGAAACACAAGGGTTGAAACACAGGGGTTAAAAGGGTTTTTGGATTCTCATTTTCCATTTCTTAAATACGATAACAATGCCAGAGAAGAAACAGTCAGGATTCATGACAAATGATTTTATAGTTGTTTTCAAGGATGATACAAATTGCTTTGGCCGAGGACTGCTTGCAGTTTCAGGTTTGTAAGTTGTTGGCACGCACTGAAATAGGGATTACATTAATTAGGGCACCTCCAGAGCCTTCTCGCGTGGTTGTGTCTCACCTCAGCTATAGAATCCTCATGAAGTGCTAAGGCACGTGTAGAGAGATGACTCCTCATATTGAGCTAGGCTTATAGGGAAGAAACTGAAGAGTATGAGAATGGTGACCCGATCATTGCTTTAGGGTTAGGATCTTTTTCAGGCTGGTACCCACTGAGAGAGGCATAATTCCATCAGTGGTTTTTAACCCCACTGTTTTAAAAGCTGTGAGGTGTGGCAGTTGATGACAGCTTTTGCAGAGTCCTGTTGTTCTCCCTGGGCTGGACCTGCTGTCCCCTGAGCTATCTGGAACTCTGTCAGGCTGACCCATGGGGGAACATGCAGGGTTGTTCAGGCAGTTTTTCCTTAGCTCACCAGTAAAACATCGAGAGGAAAAAGATAAGGTTTGGATCCAACAAAAGCATTCGTTTAATTAAAATTGTCATTTTTAACAGAAACATGAAATATTTTGTTTTGAGGTATGGAAAAATAAAAAAGCCATTTCCTTGAGCTTAACTACAGATAGCTCCTGATCCTCAAAACCTGCATTGCTGGGCCAAGAAACTGTCATTAAAATAAATGATTGTCTCAAGGATTCCCGGTCAGCCACAGGAACTGGATCCTTCAAACTTAGTATTCAAAGCCTGAATTCAGTGCAAGTGTTCCTCTACCAGTTCAGAGGCTCTCCCTGAGGTTCTGCAAGCTCTGTGGTACTTGGTTTTGTGAGGGCATTGTGATACCTTGTGTTACTGAAGTAACAGGAAGGAAAATAAGGATTACAGAATGAACTTGTTTATTGATAACCCAAGAATAGCAGGAGGCTGGTGCACAAAAGGCTTTGTACCCTATTTTCAGGATGCAGGTTGGCTTGCTCAGCTGCATGGATTAGAAGCCATAAATGTGACCCGCATGAAAGCTAGTTGATATCCAATGGCCATGGCCTCCCATCCTTATATAAATCCCCAAACAAAAGAGAAAACAGGCACGATCCAGTTTCTGTATGGCAAACACTTGCTTATTGTTTCAGGAACTGCATCACCAAGTAGTCCATGCCTCACGCTCACATTTTCCAACCAGTAAACAACAGCCCTGGTCCCAGTCCTGTTTACACATTCTGCCTGCTGGATTTCTTCCCCAGGATCCTTCACTTAATTTTTTTGCCACTCAAACCATCACATCATACGAATGGCTGCACTGTCCCTGCTGAGTCGCTTTGCTGTGTGGCTGTCATGTTTCTGATGGCCCCTGATGCTGATGTAATACTGTCAGGGAGGTTCTCCAGCAGCAGTGCCATGCTGTGGGGGGTGGCAGGATGGGCAGGACAGGTTGGGTTGGGTGCTTTGCTGCTGTCAGATCTGGCTGGCATGTGTGGGCAGTGGTGGAGCGTTGCTTCAGGTAGCAAAACATCCTCGTGCCTGATAGGAAATCTTCCCATGCCCAATTGGAGTAAGCAAGGCTGAGATGTGCCTTGCAGAGTGAGGAAACCTTGCGCTCCCCAAACTCCCCATCCACTTCAAGCACAACTTGGATGTTATCTCTTGCTGGCACTGGGGGTCCCAGCTCTGTCTGTGCCACCTCTTTCCCTACAGCAGCCATGTGCTGAGAGCAGTGGAGCAGTGTGAGGGAGGTAGTGCTGCTCTGTTGAGTCAGCCTGTTCCCATGCTGTAGTGGCTTTGCAATGATGATGGCTCAAAGCACTTTTTAAAGATGTTATGTTGCAGAGAGGGAATCAATGGTGCATGGGGCATCTGGATCCTGCACAAACCCAAAAGAGATTCCTGGCTTTGTGCTTACAGTGCAATTTTCACATTCACGTATTTGAGATAACCCCTCCCAGAGCTCAGTGGGGTCCAGACATCCAGAGATGCTTCTAGAGCAGAGGACAGCATTGGTGTGTGATGGCACAAGGAGGAGGGGAAGGTAACTTTGTCCAATGGTAGGAAAGTGGCTGAAAGCTGAGCAGAAGGGGCTTGCTGGGAAGTTACTGTTCACCCTTTAACACCAATCACTGTGTTACATCAGTCTGAGGTGTGGCACAAACTTCCTCTGTGACATAAACTTTTAGTTTTGGGGAGGGCAGGTTCAAATCTGATGCCCAGAGCATAAAATCATAGAATCATTAAGGTTGGAAAGACCACTAAGATCATATAATCCAACCATCAACCCATCCCCACCGTAGCACTAAACCACATGGCTCAGTGTTGCATCTGCCCTTTTCTTGAACACCTCCTGTGATGGTGATCCCACCACCTCCCTGGGCAGCCCATGCTGCAGCTGTTCCTTCTGTTTCCCTCCAGCACTGTGCTGCCTTCAGGGCTCCCAGGTGGAAGTCGAGCTGTGAGCTGCTGCAAGCTGGAACCAGTAGCAAAAGCTTTTTCTTATTATGTTTTTTCCTTGTCCATGTCAGATGAGTATTATTTACAAGAAACAGTTTGTGCAGCTTGGAGATTTGTTTAGAGAAGGAGTGTAGAAGGAGTCAAAAGCATAATGGAAATAAAAAAGGTCACAGTAGTGCTGCAGAAAGTCCGTAGTTTCCTGGTGTGGGAGTACTGCTATTCTGGAGACTGGGGGCACAGCAGAACAGATTTGTTCCTCTGGTTCCCAGCAGGAACAAGGCTGATCTCAATGGGTGCTGGAGGCTGCTGTCTCCTCACTGTGCCCAGAGCCATGTCCTCTTGCGGGCTGCAGCAGTGATGCCAAAGAATGCTGAGTGCATGTGCCTGGGGAGCAAGTGGGAGTCCTATCCTCCTGAGCAGCCCCTGGGTGTGAGTTTGTTTTTGATGTTATCAAGGGAAATGGGGATTGCCTATAGCTTTATATAATGCACAGAATAAACAAAGGAAATGAGTACAAGGTGCCCTCAGCCATTACTGTTGAATGACTCAGTGGCTGAGCTGCAATGCCTGGACACGTACAGATAGAGAAGAATAACAGATCTCGGGGGGTTACAAGTCAGGACAAGGGACCTGCACACGTTATAGACCATGGGAGGTTGCGGAGATTTATTCAGGTGGGTTTAAGGCTGTTGAAAAGCTGTGAGCTAGCACGGCTGCAGGCTTTGGTTTGCCTGCAGGAGAGGTGTAGATGTGGGTGTGCAGAGCACGTGTGGGCATGCAGAGCGAGTGTCCCATGTGCACAGTGGGTGCCCTACACCAGCACGGTGTGCAGTGCTGTCCCTAGGCTGCCACGCTCTGGGGTTTTGCTTCCTGATGCTCCATTTCAGTTTTCCTTCTGAAATGACTTCCCATTTTTTTTAAATTAAAAGCAACGTTTTTTATTTTCAACTCAAGTGAGGATGACTTATTGCTCTCATAGAAGTTTACTTGCAGCTTGGAAACGTGACAGTCCTGAACGGCCATCATCCTCGCTGCCCTCTGCTTTGCTTTAGGGAATCTTTCTGTTCTCACTGATCTTCAGTGCTCTGACAATAAAAGGAGTCAGATGTGATGCATTGCTTTTATCTAAGCTCCATTGCTAGAAGCACCAGGAAATCCTTAAAATCAGACTTCTCTGTGCTCTCACAGCTCTGTTTGCCACATGAAGGGGTTTTATGTTTGGTGTCCTCCCTCCATGTGTTTAAGAGAGCAAGTTTTATCAAGCTGGGTGTAATGCTGTCATGTAAGGTTGAGTTGTGCCCAAGCAGCACCAAGCCCACTGCATTCTGCCCTTGGATTTCAAGCACCTATTTTTTATATTTCTCCCAGTTGATAGCTTACAACTCTCAGAACTGCTGACTATTGACTGTATAGTTCAGGCTCACGCAGCCTGAGGGGCTGACATTACTGGAGCTAATTGTCCCTTGACGCTAATTGTCATTCAGCTATGTGTGCATCTGTAAACAATTTCTCAAATTGCTGCACTGACAAGTGAGATGCTTTGGTTGGCAGGTCCCACATCTGAGCAGGGGAAGGTTGCTGGTGCAGTGCGGTTGTAGGGGGATGTCATGGTTTGGGTGGTCTTCCCCTTCCTGCTTGGCAGCTGCAGCACGAGGCTGTGATTTATTTCCTGGAGTGGATTTTTGTCAGATAAACCCCTGAACAGTGATGTGAAATAAACTGACAGCTGATTTTTGCAGCTCGTGTGGTGAGGGATGAGCTGAGCCATTGTGTGTTTGATGCATCTGCAAAGGCTCCAGCCCTCACCACGGGCTCCTGCATGTGCCAGCTGCTGTCCTGGATGGTGGCATCAGCCAGTCAGGCTTTGATATATGTAGTGCTTTTGGAGACAAGTAATGCTTTGGGGGCAATGTGGGTAGGCAGGGGGAGAGGAGGATGACAGAACTATGATTTTTTTTGTTCAGTTTTGTTAAATTTATAAGGATAATCATGGGAAAACAAGAGCCCCTGTGCTTGCTTTGTGGTGGAAAACAATGGTAAAAGGTTGTTTCATAATCTGTCTGGAGCCTGGATTAATGCTCAGATCTTACTGAGCCTTTTATGCCCTTTGGGTTGTGATTATAAACACAGGAGTGCCATGGCCTATGGCAAAGCACAGGTGCTTATTATGACAAGCATGTCTTTTACAAACTGCTCCCATTCCCTAGTGGAAAGTTTGTGGGCTGCTCTTGGCATGGTTTGTAACACAGCTATAGCAGTGTGCTGGGATGAGAGGAGCTGGAAGGTTGATCTGAGATGTAGCCATAGCCCCAGGAAGAAAACCCAACCTTAGTCCTGGGTGAAAGTGAAATGCCCTCATTCCCTGCCCTGTGCAAATGTTTGTGTGAAGCCCCTCCATCTCTTATTTCTGCAGTGTGTTCTCAACATGCACTGGAGATAGAGGAGATGGGGACCACGCATTCTGGGAGCTTCTGGGCCAAACCTGGTCAGCTCTGGGGCAGGAAGAGGAGAAAGCATGAAATTCTGTAAGGATGCGGAAGAAAGCATCAACAGCAAAGGCAAACAGTGTCTTCAGAGAGGTGTGCTAGAATGAATGAGAATAGCCAAAAGTTGTACTGGGTTGTACTGAGTGGGTGCAGGAAGGGTGCTGGGATGTGTTCTGAGAAGGTTGGGTTGGCAGCTGGACTCAATGATCTTAGTTGTCTTTTCCAACCTTAATGATTCTATGATTCTAAGATAAGAGCTCTTCAGGTAGCACCTAAATCATTTTACAATTTTTCTTTCTTCTTACAAGTGTTACAGATATGCTGGTGAGGTAGTTTGAGTTCTCTGGAGCAGCAGGGCATTTATTGATTTCTGCTCTTTGAACGTATTTTACTGCGGGGTTAAACACCTGCCCGGGAATTCACCTTTCCCACACATAGCAGAGGTGCCATGAACGGTTTGTAGGGTTGTCCTCAGGGCTTCCCTTGTATGGTCAGAGCACAGGTAGAGGACATACGGCTCTTTTTGCTCGTCATGCAGACCCCATGCTAGCCTTGCTCAGTGAGGAATGCTTGCCTATAAGCCCTGTGCTGAGGGATGGTGAAGGCTCTGGAAGCATCATCTGATGGGAACAATCCAGTGTGTTGGGATTAAGTTGAATTCTAATATTGTCTAACATAGTGGCATTTCATCCCAGCATGGGATCATCTTCATCCTTTATAGCACTGTATTTCACATTTCAGATGGTGAATGAATGTTGTGTCCTTAGGTCAAAACACAGCTGGGACATCAAGCTTTAGATTAAAAATTGCCTTGGCAGAGTCCCACGGAGCATCCTGGAAGCATCCAAGCCCTGATGCCTGTAGATTACGGGCAAAATAAGACAACTAAACAAAGCTCTATGTTCTGGAAGCTCTGCTTTTCAAATCATGCAATAATAATCTTTGCAAGATTAAACACTGGTTCAGCTGGTTTTCTGTTTGTTTTTAATTCCACTTCTTATGGAATAAGCTGCTGGTGGCAGATGCCCATTGCCCTGGAGGTTACAGATGGAAACTTGGGGTCTGATTGGTGACGTTACCCCCCAGGCAGGGATGGGGCTGTCCTGGCAGAGGTTGTACTCACTGGGGCTGGAGCAGTGTGGCTGAGCATTGACTTTTTCCTGTGCTCCCCAGGCTGGCAGAGGCACCTTGCAGATTCCGGGTAAGAAATATGATTGTACCAGCTGTTGCTAAGAAAAATGAGCTGCAGAGAAATATGTTGTTTCATTCGGTTTGTGGGGTCACATTCAGGCATAATTAGATCTCCCGCCTCCTGCTTCTTGTCTAATGAGTGTGCAGAGAACCCAAGGTGTGCTTATTACTGTAAATGTAAGCCCTCAGTCTTTCATATATCGATTTAAAGCTAGAAAAGAGCTAATATCCCGTATTACAGAGGACTGAGGCCAGGAAAATCCAAGGTGGAATTAAGTTTTGCCTTGGTTCAAAGAAGTATCTAAAAGCAGATCTCAGCTGGGGACTGTTGGATAAACCATCCTATCTTCCACAGTGTCTTGGGACAGAGGTAAATCAACCACTACAGTGCCTCATTCTCCCCAGGAGGGATGTCTGGGGTTCTTGAATGTGTTTTGTCTAAGTGCTCAGCAGGTGCTGCCTGAGGCTCAGATCCTGGCCTTGAAACCTCTGCTTGTCATGCTAATCCTAGCAGACATCCTTCCTGCATAGGCAATCCCCAGCTCAAAGCAAGTGGCTATAAACTGTATGGGAGGTGACAGCTTTGTGTCACCTGGGGCAGCATCCCCCAGGCATGGGTGCTGGGGCTGCTCCCACGGACCTGGTTGTGATGGAGCTGTTTGGGGAACAGCTGTGTCGCATTAAGGATAAGCACCATTACAGAGCCAGTGCCTCAAAAGTGGTCAATATGTTTAGTCTGTACCAACGAACATTATTCTCTGGCTCCAAAACTCTTCACAAAGAGGTGCTTTTGTGGAGAGAGATGCCAGCAGGAAATAGGCTGAAACAACGCAGAAATATTTTCCACCCATGATCTCAGCCCCTGGAGATAAGGGTGGAATTCCAACCCCTAAGCATCCTCCTTGGCCTCATGTTGGTCCCTCAGCCATAGCTGGCATGGAGGTCCCACCTAGCAATGAGTAGCTCCTGGAATTATCTCCCAGATGTCAGGCAAAGGAGAGGAAAATTATATTTTCCTGTCCCTAAAGGTGAAGGGGAATCAGGCTGGATCACTCGGTTCCTTCAGTTTAATCTGTATCTCCTCTCCAACCCTACTCAGTGTCTCAAAATGCCTGAAAACCATCCAACTTGATCCATGGCAGGTTGCACAGCATGTTTAGTGACTCATGGTGCAAGTCCGCATGTCTCACCATGCCTGGAAGCCTCCCTCGTGCTGCTGGGGGGCCTG